GACTTTTCAGTAGCTTTTCTTCAACTGGAGGGCGCTTGGGGGTCGCCTGGTTCGGCTTAGCCTTCGGGGTTGCGGATCGATTCAGGTGAGTTGTTTTCGTGGCTGAATTTCCGGTTTGTTTTCTAGTTTTACCGGTTGCAGGCGTTGGACCTACAACTAGGTTGAAGGCCCGGGCGATCGAGCAGAAAGGATAGACCCAGAAGGGTCCGGGTCCCTCGTGCTGGCTGGTCCAAGCCGTTTGGCCTGGGCCCAGCCCAGTGACCTTAGCGGCCTGCGGGCTTGAGCCATGGACTGACCAAAAAAAAGAAGAAGAAAAAGGCAGCGAGTTGGGCCGAGTTGATTCGATCCGAGTCAACTCGGCTTGTGTTTTTAGGGCGAGTCAACCCGTCCGGGTTGACTCAGGGAGATTGGGGGATATGCTATCCCCAGGGATAGGCCAGTTGGGATAGAGGCTGTTTAGGGGATAGCAGTGGGATTTTGACAAATTGGAATAGGAGAATTAGGGTTTTGAAGGGTGAACCGGCCAAGGTTGACTGAGAGTTTAACTGGCCGATGTAGTGGTCTTTTAGGGCTTGGATTTGGGAAGTTGGACCAATTCGGGGTTCAAGGGGATTAGATCTATCAAACCAAGTGGGTTCGGGAAATTTTGGATGGCCGGTTCGAGGTGAACCAACCGGTTTAGTGTGGTATCCTTTGGGTGACCGGTTCACCAGTTTTAGACCGGTTCTTAGAGAGTTTGGACCGGTTCCTAGTTCAGCACATGAAAACCTAGATAACCGTGTAATTTGGTGATTTTTGGGTGACTGGTTCAAGGTGTACCGGGCTCGGTTTGTATGCCGATGCTTAGGATTAGGGTTCTTGGCTGTTCAAGACTGGTTTAAGGCCTTTTTGGACGGTTTAGATTGATTCCTAAGATTTTTGGGCCTTTTGAATCCTATTTTGGGGGTTTTGTGGCTGATCTAGTTGAGTTTAAGTGTAGTTTTTAGACCAATTTAGTCAGTTTAGGGGTTTTAGAGGTCGGTTCACTATGGTTTGAGGATTTTGGAAAACTGGTTTCTTTATTGTTGAGGTTTGTTGAGCCAAAATGTTAAGAGTTGTGAGTCATATGGGTCCACCGTAACAGGTAGTGATGCCTTGGGATGCGTGTCATGGTGTCAGGATAGGAGTTAAGTTAGTTTTGGGCTGTCGAGCTAGTTTCTTGTGCTGATCTTGGTGGTGGTGATGGTTTTGTGTGGTTTTGGTTACAGATATGCTGGTGAAGGTGCGTCCAGATCAGTGATCTGGTGAACGCAATTGAGAGTTCCTTTTTGTTCAGCCTTGTAGTGTAAGTGATGATACCCTCTCTATGCTTGTAATTTCATACTATGATTTTCTGATATGATGATTATGTGGTTTGGAAACTATATTTTGAATATATGTTATACTTGGGATATGCGTTTATATTTTTTGTGAACTGTTAGTGAGTTATATTTGTATATGATACTAGTTTTGAGATGTGAACTGTATATGCGTATGTATATTGCTTTTGATTTATATGTGAGGATGATGTGTGATGTGAGGTGGCAGGGGGGCCGCAGATGTGAAGTGATGGGATTTGGGGACGGGAACTCGACTAAAGTGCGGTGATCCGTAGCGTCCAGTGGTGAGTCGGCTGGGTCGTGTGAGGTGATTACAATGCCAGGAACTCGGCTGGAGTACAGTGACCTGTAGTGTCTAGTGGTGAGTAGGGCCTGGATCCAGTGCTAGATGTGAGGTGTTGTGATATGATTTGATGTTTGGTTGACAGTATCCGAAGTGTAGGTTTAATTTGTTTTGATTACTGCGCACTGATATATGTGTATGTATGGTTTTCTCCTATGGCGTGATACATATCCCAACATGTATAGATTAGGTTATCATTTGTACTAACTGAATTTCACAAAACTAGTTTTAAACTTTTCATATTTGGATTGCTGTCTTTGTCTCGAGTAGTGTGCCAGTTGTCAAAGCGATTGTCAGAGGATTTGATGGATGTACGGGCACTGTTTTTGTATCTTTCTTTTTGTATTCTAGAATAGTTTCCCTGTACTCTCAGACAAAATCTCAAGTAGTTTAGTTGTTGTATTGTTATACTTAGTATATGTTTTGTATTTTTTGAGTTTGACTGTTTTGTTGAGGCTTACTAGGGTCGGTGGACTGTAGTACCGGTCACGGGCTCAATTTCGAGGCGTGACACTTTCCAAACAATATAAACACACTTAATTAAAATCAATTAACTATATTTTATGAAAATCAATTTTTAATCAGATTCATTAAGGATAGAACCTAGTCTTGACTACTTAGAGTTACACACGAATCAATTCATTCATCTATACAAATAAATCAAACTTAAGTTATTCAACATAGAGTTAAATGGAATATTCCTTCATTAAAACTCAATCCAATTCCTGAATATATTCAATTGTCCATTAGGCAATTGAATGGTGTAAGAATAGAGTTAAATAAATAATTTACAAATGAAATAGTTAGGACTTAAATTAAAAGATTAATCTATATCCTAAGTTCTATTGTAGTCTTAGAAAAAAAAATAATTCATGTTCATAGAAAATAAAAACCAAATTCAATTAGAGAACTACAAACTGAAATTTTCAAAATAAATAAAATAATAAAGAAAGAAAAAAAAAGTCCGGTAAGTTCTCGAGGGTCCCCTTTTTTTCTTCAATCTTCAATGAGCAAAGTCAAGTTCACACACAAGTCTTCTCCGCCCAATGTTCAGCTGTAGGTGCTCTCCCCCTTTCACTTCCAAAAAGTCTCTCCTCCTTTCGTACTCCTCCTCCAAAGAAAACTTAGAAATTTTCTCTTTATAAGATAATTTCAAATCATTTTTAATTTAACAAAAATATCTTTTTTGCAAAATTTTCAATTTACCCTTGACTTTCTTCACAATTCTCAAGTCTTTCATGATTAAAGCCAAAATTACTCTCTCTAAATAATTAAACAAAATAACTTAATATATATCAAACTTCCCATAATTTATCAAAAGATAATAAATACACTAAATTAATATCATACTTATCTAATTAGTCCAATAACTCTTCAAAATAAATGATAAGTCCTAATAAAAATTATATAAAAATCACAAGTAATTAAGACTTATTTCGTTAAAAATTATTTGATACAGTTATTAAGAGTAATGCTGCCCTTCCGTAATGATGTAGAAGTTTATATCCCACTATCGATATATAAACTTTATATCTCAGTGAGAAAGAAGGGCACTACCATTAAGTACACTTCAAATGAATCAGAACTAATCTGGTAGACAGGAAAGCTTAAGAGGTGGGTCATGCCCATATAAAAAAATAATAGTTTAATAAAATTTCTAAAAATTCTGCTCAATATTAAATAGCCAACAAAGAGAGGTCCAAGTAATTCCAAACAATTAATATGGAATTAATGATGTTATATCCTCACCTGGAGGGTATTTTGAAGAAGAAGCCAAAAAGTCATTAAAGCGCTTGCGACAAAAAGTCACTAAAGCACCGACCAATAAACATGTATTAATAAAAGCCATGCTTTACAACACAACTACTCAAAAAGTTGGCTTATATTGAATGTTGCCCCCCAAGGAAGGGAAAACTAAGTTGTGGTTGCAGTTTTTTATTTTTTTTTTTTTTTGGCAGCAAAACCATGGGAGAGGAGCTATACAGAAGCAATAAAACAAAGCAAATGAAATTGGATTAATATAACCATACACTTACAATAACCCAAAGAGGAATAAATATATATTTAAAATTTTAAATTTCGAAATGGGTATCAAAAAGGATTTTCTTTTTTTTTTTTTTTTTTTGTGTAACAAAGTGGGAAAGTAATGTGAACGGCCAAATTCACGTTTTGCCTCGAACCATGGATGTCGCGATCAATCGGACAGTGGTCCTGACACGTTGTTCAACGTTCTGGGGTAGATCCAAGCATTGCCAGGTGTAAGAGGTCCCCACTGAATCTTCACGCAAAGATTTGCCGCGTTAATGGAAAGTGAAGTGTAATTTGCAGCATAGTGGAAAACCGGTTCTTGTTTTCTTTTTTTTCTCCCTTTTCTTTTTTTCTTTTAAGTTACATAAAAAATAAAGGATGTTTGTTACCAATTAACTTCTGAACTGTTCGATTTCAAATTCATGAGATTTTTAAAAAGATTTTATCAAAAAAATTTAAAAAAATTTGAACATCAAATTTCTAAAAGTATAAGTATGCTTGGTATCCCTGAAAACCTAAAAATTTTAGCTTTAGAAAATTTTGTTTCAAAATTTTTTTAATCAAATCTCTAAATTAAAATTTTTATAATTTAGTCTGTAAATTTTTTTAGCTTCAAGATTTTAAAATCTTTCAAGTTTTTATTTTCTAAAACAAAAATCCCGGGCCAACCCAATTTGTGAGGAAAAGAGAAGATTTGGGCCATTCAAAACGTACGTCAACTCGTAAACTTTTGTTGTTAAATCAACCTATAAAATTAGTTCTAAAATTCAAAAGGTGGATTTTAGAACCCAAAAACAAAATCAAAAAATATATTTAAGAACCAAAGTAATAAATAACAAAAAGAAAATTTACATGGTACATTAAGAAGGGTTGAAAATTTTTATTTTTATTTTTTTTGGGTAAATAACTAAACAAGTGTAGCAAACCACCCCTAACATTAAAGTCCGACTGCTCTAGTTGTAACATTTTCTTACCGTCTGAATATCATGGATCCATACCAGGCTTAACTCAGGTGAATGTGATTTCATGGACAGGAGTTTTGGGCTTTTGGAATTTGTTGCCTAGAAATTCTACAATAGAGAGAATATGTGAATTATAGAGTCTCTGTGAACTTTCAATTTCTTCGTCATATAATAATTTTCCGGGGTTCATTTCTACACCCCTCACGGAATAGGAAATCAAAATACAACAAACTTCACTTCAGGCAGTCCATCTATTAAAGTATTATCATCAGCCATACTCGCTGACAAAATCTAAAATGAATTAATTGTTTAGCCTTTAGTCGTGCAATTACGTACTATATATTTATATGACAATGGTAATAGCTTCCCTTGGAGGAGGATCGAATTCAATAGCTTTCTATGCGCAGTCACTCTTGCATGGGATGTTGGTGCATCGACAAACAGGTCTACCAGAGGCTTCCCAGCCATTGAAACCCGTTCCAAAACCATAATATTCTTTATTCCTGCATCTTCTTTCAGTTCTGCGAGGTAATCTGCCAACCTACGTGCACACTTTGGGCCACGAACCTACAAGAACCACGCAGAAATCAGTTGTCTTTTTCACTCTGACAACAGTTCACGATTCGCCTTCAATTAAGACTTCAATTTTCAGCATCTATAGTATAAATTTTTTAAGATAGAAGAATCACAATAGAAATTTTAAATGGGAAAATATAGACTGTAAAAGAGCAAAGAGAGAAATTGCAATAAATTGAATTCATACTCAAAAAATCTAACTCCTTGCTATGATACAGAGTTACAGTTCAATTAGTAACATGCTCCAAGCAAGGAAGTACAGAAAAGATATGCACACACATTTATTCTTCAATTAGTAACATGCTCCAAGCAAGGAAGTACAGAAAAGATATGCACACACATTTATTCGTGGTTTGAACATATAAAACTGAGACCAATTTTTTGCAACCTTATCCCATTATGTAAATAGGTTGCTTTTGTTTTAGAATAGATAATAACCCAATGGCAGTGGGGCAAGCCATATTTAAATTGACATTAAATCTTTGCAGCAATAATAAGAAATCAAGCATACACATGTTAGGCAGCAAAGAATTAGATTCTCACTATCAATTTATTGTTGTCACCGAATGATGTTTGCTGTTGTTTAATCATAGACAGTAGTTTTATGGTTTGCTAATAAATTATCCTCAGCCATTACATCTGATTTATGAATGCCTTGGTTCATTCCTACATTGCGTGGGTGCATATATTTATCTGAATCATGCTAAGTGTCCTAAACATTTTAAAAGCTACCATGTCTTCCAAAAGATACATGAACAAGCAACCTCAACAAATAGTAAATTAATGCTTGGTGTAAATAACAACCAAGGGTAGAAAAACCAGCCCATGTCATATAAGAGCTTAGGCCCAGACTAGACCCACATTGGGAACTATGCCTAAGCACCTGCCCTGCCCATCCAAAGAGGTCTAGGCCTGCCCGCCAAGTGTCCTACACCTCTTAAAAGCCACCATGCAGTCATATAAGTACTTCTTGTCTATCTTTCAAGTGATAATTTAACAAGCAACATCAAGATATGAGAAGTTCCACTTGAGGGCATAAAAAAGCATCCAAGCCCCAAAAGCCAGCCAAACTCAGAAAAAAAATAGAGCTTAGACCAGTGCAAGGCTCACATTGGGTGATATTCCTAGGCCTGCCTGGCCCAGCCAACAGGATTTAGGCATTTAGGTCAAGGTCAATACTAATACACAAAAAAACTGGAAGCATTGCCACCACATACAACATAAACAGAGTTCAAGATCCTTGGTTTAATTTGCAGGTGTTCAATACTGCAAGGAACCGGACAATGTCAGATAACCTAGATGCAGCCAATTAAAAGGTTAAGGTAGCCAATTCAAAACAATTAAGAAAACCTTATAATTCTGTTGCAGAAATAATATGAGATAAATCTGAATAACTTTGAAGAAGATGTTTGCCATAAAGAACAATGATACACAAAAACTGTTAGAAGCATTGCCATTGCATGTAATCTGAACAAAATTTAAGAGCCTTAAAATCAATTCTTTATGAGATGAATATGTTCCATATGGTGTTTTTTTTTTTTTTTTTTTGAAATAAACATAGATTATAATGGAGATGGATATTCATCCAACAAGCTCAAACACATCTGCTTGGATTTGAAGAAGGGCATTCAAGGATTATACACATATCATTAAATCTAAAATGTTATCCCCCCTTGAATTTACCCATGATTAAATGATTTATACATGACAAGGAAAAATGAAATAAAATAATGACATACAGAAAAATAAAAGCCTAGCAACATTAGTTGACATGAAAAGCAAATCATGCTTTTCTAGTCTAGAAAATAGTAAGCAGCACACAAACACTGCTTTTGTTGTACAAGTTATATAGTGCATATGACAGATTTATATAGCCAAACTATGGAAGGCAAATTGGCGTGAATAAATAGTACTTTAATGAAGAAAACATGGCCCTACTAAAGAAGGTGTGTGGTCCATACTGGCCATTCACACAGCCAATAGATGCACCACTATAGATCAGGTCCAAGCTGGAGTCAGGTTCCCTACCCCAAACCTGAGCATTGCCATCCCTACTGCTCCATATTACTTGGACTCAGATGTGGGTCCAAATGGCGCACTTGCAGATCTTTTAAATTTTAAGACACAGGGACATTGCTTAAACTTGTGCCCCAAAATAGGATACAGGTACAAGGACTCTTCTGTCTCTCAAAAATACTATTTGTATATTGTTAGTTATGCTATGAGCATGTGACTCCTTTGAGTGCAGTCTTTCAAACTAGGAATACATATACTCTATTTGATGTGAAGCATCTCTGTCTAACATGCACTGACATGCATGTTTCAAGGACGTACCAAATACATCAGACATGCCACATAATGTCCATAATTTTTTACATTTTCTTCATTTTGGACGTGTCATTATACTCAGACATGTGTGTCTTCAAAATTGGAGAGACATGTTTTAGCACATAAAAACATGTTTTTATATCAAATAAGATTAACCCAACGTCAATCTTTTGTGAGAATAATATGGAAGTAAACATATAGAACAAAATAATCGTCTCAAAAATGCATAGTGGTTTCTGACTCATGTTGAGTGCGTTAATCATGAAAGAATCGGTTTGATTACAGGGTATTTATATAAAATTTTTCATATTAAAAATATTCTACTAATAAATATAATTAATACAAATATTAAAACAATTAGATCTTTCAATTGTGTCCATGCCCATGCTTCATAGCTTTCTAACAATTGCAACTGTAAATTATTGGATATTTGTATCATTTGTTATGTTGAGTATGTTTAATCATGTGTAAAAAAAATCAGTTTGTAATTTGGTTTTTTTGTATTACTTTTGTCATTTTAAAATGTTCTAGTATAATAAATATTTATTCAATTAGGTCTTTCGGTTGTGTCCCCACTATGTCCATGTCCTTATTTTTTCAAGGTTGCCATGTTAGTGTGTCAGTGTCCTTGTCACGGCCATGCTTCTAAGCTTTTTAACAATACAGATTCAAATTATAAAACATGACTTATTTTTCATTAACCATACAATTATAGGACAAGTTATATTATTTTTCAAGCGGGATGCTCAGTTGGGACTTTTTAAAATTTTATACTTGTAATAACACATCAGTCTAATTAGCCTTTATATTTGGGTTGTTGTGGGCTGGTTAAAATACTTACAAGCCCGTTAGCCATTTAAACCCGACCAGTCTGAACCAACTTACTCTGCAACCCTATTGAACTTCTGTGTCAACAAACCTGAGACTACCTCCCTCCTAGACTTCTGACTTTGCTGTCAGCCCTTTATCTTCTTGCCGATCCTGGCAATTGAGGAACTTTAAGGGGGCCAAGGTTTACTCCAAATGTCTTAAGGTCAGTGTTTTCTCTTCTTCCTTCTCATTCTCTTCCTACTCTTACTCTCTTTCTTCTTCACCTTTTCTTAATATCCTTCCCTGCATGTCTTTCTTGCCCAACTGAGCAGATCCATGACCAATGCATATTTCACCCCTATACCACAGACATGCCATGTCAACACAGTTACTAAGGGGCAAGATGCCTATTTGATGTAACTTAGATGCCACTAAATTTACAAAGCTGAAAATTTGGTAGGCTTTGTTGGCAAAATTATGAGTACAATTAAGTGTATCAATTTAGTTAGACCCTGATCTTTTCTCCTCTTTGGAAGGACTTTTGTTTCCTATCGTTCATTGCATGAAACAAGAGTTTATTTAGAAAAGTAAAAAATTGTAATGATGGCCTTCATTTGCATTTGCAAATAGGCATAGAAGATGACAATGATGAGTTCATATGGCAATGCCTAAAATTGCATATTTGTTTTGTGCTATTGGTGGAAAGCAAAATGTAATAGCTACACTGTATTTCTATCCCCTATAATGTTTATCCCTCAAATATGTTCACATTTATAAAAGCCACATCTATTTCAAACCAAAATGAAGCCTATAATCTTTGTTAAAACAATTAAAAGGTTAATCCTCATTGAAACTCCCATATTTAGCTTCTGTCCAGAAATAAATGTAGAACAATGTCAAACATATAAATAATATGCCTGCAATAGTATTTAAATGAGAAGCAGCATCAGAATATGCTACTCCAAATGGGAAAGGCTCTAGATTAATATTAATTTTCACCCCATTCCTAGCAACAGTGATTAGAAATTTAATGCCAAACCACAAGCCAACTGATTGCATTAGCATCTACGGTGATAAGCATCTTCTTCTCAAATATCATAATTGACCCGTGAAATCAAGAGTCTCATCACAACTTCCAGTTCAGATACGCAGGTAAATAAAAAAGATCCCAAGATTTTAATTCCTATGCTAGAAGAAAATTGTTACAGAAAAAAAACAATAGCTCGGAAAGTGTTACGGAAGATAGAGTAATCAGTTCTCAACGAAATATTTTCTTTATCTCTTGAAGGCTTTGCCTGACACGTAAATCAATCCCAACAAATTTTTCCATTTCTCTCCAATTATCCAAACTATCTTTTGTTTTCTTCCCCAATCTCCCAAACATAATCTGAGATCTATTCCAAATTCGAAGCAAAATTCGAGAAATCACAGGAATCTATTCAGAACTGCACATACAAGAACGAATTGAGCGTGGAAGGTCAGAAATAGATGCAGATCAATAAATCCACGGATGCAACTATAGCAAACTAGTAATTTTGGGTAAATGCACAAGTTGAGAGTGAAAGAGTAAGAGACCTGGCTTAGGGCGCAGTGAAAGACAAGGGTGTCTTTGCCCTTGACGGCCTGGACAAGGTTGGGCATTTTATCGACGAAGTTGTCGCTAGCATAATGCAGTGAACCGGCAATATGCCCATCGTAACTCCTCTCGTCGTCCCTGAAACCCCATCAATAATCAGCTACACATGCGTAGGTGTATATATGGAGAAGCAGAAATCGTAGGGAGATCATACCTGACGTCTATAATAGCAATATTGGGGGGACGTTTTAGAGAAAGAAGCTGAGATCCAGTGATGTATGAAATACTTCGAGCCATCTCTTCTCCTTCTCCGGTAGGCCTATAGCTCGAGGTCGACGACGACGGAAAAACCCAAAACGCGTTGTTTCTTCGATATTTATAGTGATTCTTGGGTGACGATAACAGGCATTCCGTATTACGGTGTTATCCTCCGGTGGTTAAGTGTTGGATTTTGATTGGAGGAGATGCAGCGTTGATCAGCGATTGTTCAATTTTCACCTCTGAGGCGGTGGATACCAGTCACGAATTAAGTTTTGAAAATTAAAAACTGTATGGCAAGAAATAACAAAACTAAATTAAATCAATTAATTTCTTTTTAAAAAAGTCAAAAGTCACGATTTTGGAGCTTTTTTAGGCTTGATTGTAAAGTAGCAACTGCAACGGCTTTTAACTTTTTCTGCCTTGAGCTAAGTAAGATTTTACAGATCATTTGTAACTAAAGCAGATAAGATACTTGATTGTAAAGTAGCAACTGCAACGACTTTTAACTTTTTCTGCCTTGAGCTAAGTAAGATTTTACAGATCATTTTTAACTAAAGCATATAAGTTAAATAATTTTGGTTTTGGTTTATCTATAATGTTCGGAAAAGTTCGCTTACAGAGAGTATAAAATCTGGAAAAAAAATTCCGACCTGCCGGATTCGAACCAGCGACCTAAGGATATACTGCAAGTTTTGACCAACTACAGTCCTCCGCTCTACCAACTGAGCTAAGGTCGGATTACGCTAAAGTGGATGCTTGATTTTCTAATATACAGTAACTATATAATTTCCCTTCTCCCTCCCTCCTCTAAGAGGATAGAATGGCCCATGATAAAAATTGAGAGGGTTTGGATATGAAGTTTTTTTTTTTTGTTGATTAAATATGAAGTTATTAATTATATGAGTTTTAACCCGTTAGTTTTGTAAATTACAGATTGGTACAGGGGGTTTCACAAATTCTCTAACCATTCAACTTTATGTGCAGCTTCGTCATATAATAACTATGAAATAACAGGAGGCCCGGATTGCAAATTGGCTAATTCCTGGGGCTGGGCTTTATTAATGCCATCTAGCAGGCCTAGTATTTTCAGGGTTGCATTTTTGGCCTACCTAAGGAGTATTGGTTTGGAAACGAAAATTTGTGTAATTAATAGAATTTTAAAATTATATTTGATATATCATTTTATCTTCAAAAAAATTAATAATTTTAATATTATATTTAATATAATACACTACTTTATTTTAATAAAAATTTTAATTTTTTTTTATTTTTATGAACAATAACGAAAATAATAAGTTTACTTAAAAACCAGTGACATATGAATTACAAATAAATACATCTTGCATCTCCCTAATTCTTGCTCATTTGGAGGTTTTGTATTAAATTGTGATAATTTAAGAAATAATCGTAAGCACGGGACAAAATTTGATTTATATCACATTTATTCTTCATTTTTTCTATCTATTCATATCAGGCCATATACATATTATTTCTCTTTGCCAATTATAGATGAAATCTTCCTAATTGCAACAACAGATAAATTATAGAAAATAGACCACAAGCATAATTTTAGGTTGGAAGTATCTGCACATTACACATACATGTTATTGTCACACCTCAAAATTAGACATGTGACTCGCTCTGACACTGGATTTACCAATCCTAACCGAACATATAAAAACTCAACTGAATTCAAGATACATAATACAACATATACAATCGAAAATAACTGTCTGAAAAGAAAATTAAGCAACTCTAAATACAAATAGTACAAGTAAAAAATTTCACACATCAAAAATGGCTCAACAAAATACCACGTACTTGTTCAGGAAAGCGATTAAATAGACGAGCCCACACTAAGATTTAAAAAATATTAGGAAATGAGTGAGTATGAAACTCAAAAAATGATAATACAGGCTCTAATTATGTTAGGACATATATCGTAAAATGTGCCAAAACATTTACATATAATAAGACAGTGAGCAAACAAACATATCTCTAAAAACCACACATATAAGTCTCATATATTCAAAAATACAAGAGAGTATCAAGGTACTAAATCTCATCTCATGATAGAGCATGTCATATCAGAGTATCACATATCACATGTTACATATCATATCAAGATCCCGTACTGAATCAGAACAAAAACTAGAGTATATATAAAGCACACAGTATTCGAACACAATTGTGTTTATCTGAAAACTGAAACTAAAGCAACTCCTAACAAATGATTTTCAAAAAAACATTTATAATAGAGACAATTTTAGATTGAAATCAAGTATATATAAAAAAAAGCTTACTAATAATTTCATCTAAATCAAATACTTGTCCTAAAGTTTAATTTCTAAAACTAATAACTCATATCATAATAGATGAATAATGACTAGAGTCAAAGTATGTGTATAGAAGAAATATTATCACTCACAGTAGTAAGACTGAAAAACAAAAACTGAGAATATAATCTCAATGGTTGTAGTGTGCCTCCTCAAGTGTATTTGAAATAAAAAAGATATAATATCAAAATTAGAACCGAAATTTAAACCATTTTAGGACTCGATTCCTTAAACATTCCTTAACTGCATTTTGGAATTTTAGCATGTACCTTGATGTTCATTACCTAACACATTGGCCCAAACGAACTGATAAAATGAACAAGTCTTGTAAAAAACCCTTAAACCGAAGAGAACCAATCTTAACTATCCTTGAACCGACCCGAACTAACCCTAAACACCACTAAACCAGCATGAATTAGCCTCAAGCACCATAGAACCGAACTAAATCAAATCCAAATACCTTAGAATTGCACTAAATCAAACCCAAACACCTTAGAAACTAGGCTGAACCAGACCCAGGCACCTTAGAACCGAACTAAATCAAACCCAAACACTTTTGAATCTGATTGAAGCAAATTTAGACACCTCAGAATTAGGCTGAACCGAACCCAAATAACTCAGAACTGGGTTAAACCAGACCCAAATACCTCTAAATCGAACCAAAATCTCCTAAAATTGGATTGAACTTGACTAGAATCCTCCAAAATCGAACTGAACTAGACCAAAAATCATTAAAACTTGACTGAACTAGCCTGAATCTACTTAGAACTAGATTAAACTGGTTTATTAAACCTTTAAATCGATTTGAACTAGGTTGAAATCATATGAAACTAGCTTGAATCGGTCATAAAAGCCTCTAAACCGATCCTAAAACCCTAAAACCAGGTTGGTCTAGCCTATAAGCCACAAAAATTGGACTGCAAAATCCTATAATCGGATCCAACCATATAGGCATTAAAACCAATTTGAACCAGCCTACACAAACATTTAAGGCCGACTCAATCTGAAGGAGCCCAATTCACAAAATTGAGAACCGGTTTGAATCACCCTAACCAAGAGGGGTTAGCCTTTGAATTGGACAGCCCCCATCCCAGCTTGGTTGAATTGGGCAAATTGGCCAATGTAGACCTAGATTCCATCTAGGTCTGTCACCTTCGTTGGGAAACCCGAGTCTTTGACCTAGTTTCTTGTAACTCTTACTAGACATTTTCGAAAATAGAATTTAACCAAATTCAAGGCTTACCTCTACTTCCAAGCTCAATCCACAGCTAAGGACCTCAAAACCAAAGCTAATGGAACAATTTTCTAGAAACAATTTAATGAAATTACAAGTTAAAAGCTGAAATTTCTCTTGACTCTCGTACCAAATTTTCGAACCATTTAAACCTAGAATTCAAGTGAAAAGTAGAACAAAAATTGAAATTAAGTGAGGACACTTTCAAAGATACATATAATAGTATATATACACAGATTTGGGTGGTTAATCACTTTTGATTGGATAGAATTTTGTTTCTACACCTTTCGATCGGTAGCCGACTGAAAGTTCTGGCCACCTCTCAAATCGGTCCCTCAAATTTCTAATTTCTCCCACTCTGTCCCTTATATTATTTCCAATTCAGTCCCTCATCTTGTGTGCCTTCACCGTTTGGTTCTCTCTCTTTGTTTTCTTTCAATTGAACCCCGACAAATTAACAATTTCACCCAAATCTTTCAAATTTCTTACTTAGCCTGGCTCTCCTAATTTATTTAATAACACTTTTCCAAATTTACAATTTTAAGTCCAAAACCCCTAATTTATACAATTAAGCCCCTTTACATAAAATAAATTTAAAATATTTAACTAATTTTGTAAAAATTGAGCTATTACAGTTACCTGTCAAGTACCATGGGTCAGTCACCACATCAAGACAATGGATACAATTTTTCAATCTCAACATAACATGGCATAGTTGGAATCAAGATGCCATGTCCCATCATGAGAAATGCATTCACTCCATGGAGTATTATTATCTTTGAATTAGGAATTTAGAAATTTTTAAGTGAGTAAATTTGTAATTTCCAACGGGTTTGGCTATGAAGATCCTTTAGTTTAATATCAAAATTGTTTTCATTATATATATATATATATATAGTTATTAGTGTTAGTGTATATATGCATGAAATTTTGAAATCATGCACATCATATTACAAACAAATTTAACATTTGGAAGGTAAATATATTAATATTCAAACTCTTTTAATAGAATTTTGAAAATGACGTTGACTTCTCATATGATTGGTGAGATTAATATAGAGAAAATTACATGATTTTGAAAGTTTATAACCTTTTCTTTAAACAAATAACTTTTAATATTTGGGTTGAGAGATTTTCTTTTCTACTAAATTTTTTTTTGTCTAAAACCCTAATTATTAAATATATTTATAAGTGTATAATTTTAAATCTTAGGAACTATGTACTTTATATTATATCCAACAACTCTAAATATATTTTTAATTAATGTCAACCAATTCACACTGTAATCAATAATAAAAAATAATTAGAAGGGTATAATTTAAAACATCTTTCTAGAAAAAGAATCTATATTAAAACTTATGAAACCAACAATTCCATTATCAAATCCTCACAAAATTCAAAAGGAAGAAAAAGGGTAGGAGAGAAGAATTGGATTTGTGCATTGAAACATGTAATTGTTTGGAAACATTCCATCATTTTTGGTAGGTTTACTTGGAAAATTCCCCCACCAATGACCCTTTTTGTTTCATCATTTGGGCATATTCATGGATGGGCGGGACATCAATCAAGAGCCATGCTCATGGGAAAGAAAGATGATACATACAATAATATATAATAGACCTGGATCTGATTGTCACTGTATCTATAATTGTGTTTCTTGAATTGTCATGTTTTTGAGTACTTCCCTCGTCTTACTGGCCCACTACATATCAATCAAAATTTGGGTCAAGCATGCAACAGTTTGTGACATTTTCAGCTGTCAACTCTAGATGCATCAACATTTATGAACATTGGATAAAATTTAAAAGTAAAGAGATATAATATTTTAAAAAAATTAGAGGTTAAGATTCAAATTTTAATATTTCTCTTTCATAAGTTTAGGCCTTAAATCTATAAAAAGAAAGAAACAAAAATTCAAATGAACTGTTTAAAATTTTCCTTTTGTAATTTGTAATAAAATTATTCATCTAATATTGTTTAATAATTCGAGAGTTATTAATTTTTTTAACTTATTAAATTTGAACTATCAATTTAAAATACTTAAATTTAAATTATTTAATAATAATTTTAAATATTATATGATCTTGCACTCACAAATTAATATGAGATGAAATTAAATGCTTTGTGGAAGATTAAACTGCTGTGTTTAAAAAACATATATATATTCTTTCATTTATTAATTAATTATATACTTACGATTTTTTCGGGCACTTATCTGACCTTTGATACGCGTGCATCTGAAATCCATCCTCTTCGGCCTCCACACATTGACAGCCTTTGTGACAAAGGTGTCAATAATTGGGTTAGGGTTCAAGATTTCGACTCTTTTATTTTTTTTTTATTTTTATTTATATAAACGAAAAGTTTAATTTTCTTCATAGATATAATTAAAACATAAATTTTAAAAATTATTTTTAAGGAGGGACATGTATAATATACGGAACAAAATTTGTGTTAAATTGTAAAATAAATTAAAATATTTATAATTTTCTTTTAAAAAAGGTACCCCTGTCCAAAAAATCAGGGGTGTACTACCACTACCACTGCCAGACTCCGGCATTTGTTTGCACGTCTCTTGAGTACTTGTTGTCTTCTTTCCTGTTAACCTCTAACATTTTATAAGAATGATTGTAATTTTATTCACAATTAATTAGTATTCATGATTTTTTTTACATTTTTTGTATTTTTTATTTATTTTATTATGATAAAATTTAAATAAATTTTTATTTTTTATTTTTATCATAAAAAAAGTCTAAAATTGACTTAATTTTTTAATAAATTTGAAATTTAACTTTTTATTTCAAAATTAAATATTTATCATTAAAACTGTAAATAGATCGAATTTGAATCTAATTAGAAAAATTCAAATTTGAGTCTAACATCCATTTCTATATTCAAATCCGACCTTAAATTTTAAAAGATCTATATCTATTAAATCAATCCGAATTTAATGAATAATTTAAAATCTAGTAAGGAAATTTAATATAAAAAAAATAATCTTTTATATTTAAATCTCTTAATTCTATTCTATTAATTATATTCATTCCTTAATTTTTAAATTTTTCAAATTTATTTCCTACAACTTTAAATTTATTTAATTTAATAAAAATATTATCAAAATTCATATTCAGATGTTTAACGAATCGAATTACTTAATTCTATATTTAATTTATTTATTTCAAATTATGTATATTTATAATAAGATCTAATTTATCAAATATTTTAATTGGACTTGAATCTTAAAATTTAGATCGAATTCGCGTTAAAATTCAACTTATTAATAAATCTATTTATCATTTCAATTTGATATATTAGAAAATAAACGCAGCTACGACTTTTTATCATATTACAAAAATTTTAATCTTGATTTATAAATATTTAAGTTTGTGTTAAAAAAATTAAGCATTACATATAAAAATAAATTGCAACTCTCACCAATCATAAGGAAAACAAAGTTCTATAAAATCCAATAATAGATTACAATTTTGGAAATCAAGATTGAATAAATGCTTGATAAATCTTCATGTAGAAGAGTTTCGACAATGAAATATCAAATTAAAATTGAATTTTAACAAATGGGTATTATACTCAAATTAAGCCTTCAATAGACTTAGCTGTTAATTAATTAATTAACCCAACATTCAGGGGTCAGAGAATGGTCCCTCTTGGGGTCGTCGCAGTAGTCGTACACCAAACAGTTACTCTGGACCCACTTCATGGCCCTGTACTGCCTGCTGGTCAGACCTCCCCGCCGGAACGGCGATGCCGACACCGGCCAGCACCACGCCGGAGAGTATGCCGAGCAGCCAGTCATCTTGAAATTCGTGTACATTCCCACAAACGGCTGGTACCGGTAATCCACCCTGTACTTCCCATCTTCAGTGGCCCAAGAGGAGGCATCCCATATGGATCCGTATACCCACATTGGCCTTAAGGGAAAGGTTTCCGCACTCTTCCTTGGGTATCTTCTTATTGGGACATCGTCCACAAAGAATCTGAAAGAAATAGTCTTTAGTTTTTATTCAGTTTCCTTATTCCTAAATAAAAATATTTACAATTTAGATATTAATATATTATAATTAGAACTTAATGAACCAACATAAAATAAAAACCGAAGAAAGAAAATTACATTTATTTTACCCATGTAGAGCCAGACATTTGCGTAACTATCACTTCTTTTTCCTCTTAGGACAAGGGCAAAGTAGTCAAAGCAAGCAATAATTATAACAGTACAATTATTGGCCTTGCTCATATTAGAAACACTAGTGAATGATGTTCTCCTAATCCGAGTACACCTCCTTCCCACTTTGCAATTTATTTAATGTTATTTATAAGATAGTGTTTTCCTCTCTTATAATAAGATCTACTAATATGGGTTTTCTTCTCACTATAAAAGTTGTGACTCTATCTTAAAAAATAATATCAAATAAATATTGATTTGCATAGCAAACCAATTCGCGTAATGGAAAGGCCAAACTAGCTCACGCCTTGCACAAGTAGGTTGCTAAGTAGATAGGAAGTTCTTAAAACTCAAGCTTAGTGATCAGAGTTTAACCGCTGACATTCTCCTTTTCCATGTAATTAAAAAGCAGCAATTTGGTAATAACAAAGTTAGCAATTTTAGGAGCTTCACTGATTTGATTGGTTTGGTTGTTAATCACATGAATAGGCTACTTACATAAGCTCCTTAGGACTCCACAGGATGGCGTAGTGGTGGAAGTGTCTTGTAGGATCAAACCACAGATGAAACTTCATCTCTCTCCCTATAATCCTCCCATCCCCACTTCCTCGGATGTAAACATTTGTCTGCAACGTGTAGGGCTTCCCAAACGTTGTGCCCAGGAACTCTATGTCCACTTCGTCGTGGAACCCCGGATGAGCTTCATTGTTCGAAAGCTGCCATCACACAGTTCAATGCAACAAAGAAGACTGATCTAAACTTACTTGGGATTTTAGGTTCATCTCAAGTTTCAAAAATTTAGAATCATCAATGATTAGTTATAAACATGGTTACTTGCAATTAGTTCTAACATATAGCATAGAAATGATTGAGTCTCCTAAATTCAGATCATCAGTCCTGTTCTCACATAGAAAGCTGTGATGACTCCTGCAGTGTAGCCCGGTTGGAGCTTGATGGAGGCCCCAAAATACCCAGATCGAAACGGGCGATATGACTTGAACCCACTTCCTATTAGCAAATAATGATCGAGGTAATGAATTATCAAATGCAAGAAGAAGTTTAACTATAATTATGTAATAAGCTGTGAAATGAACACGGGAAATGAGAGAGTAAGTTGAGACCTGAGGTGCTATCAAGCCAAAGAGTTAAGGCATTGTTGACAAATCTTTGGTGCCGAGGACCCCAGAGGTTTCTAAATCCCTGGTGAAAGCTAATGGACCTAAACTTAGAGCTTGGGTAGTAGCCAGGTGAGGGTGGCCGGTAGGTTGCATTGCTTGTAGTTACCAAGAGAGTGAGAAGAAGCAGAATAAAGAAAGCCATCAAGGGAGAAAGCAAGATCAGGATAGAGAAAGAAAGAATTATTGCCCCATGTGTGTGAAAAACGAAGATGGAAAGAACCAAAGAGAGGTAGAGAGTTATCGAAAGTGGTACATTTGATATAAATAGAAAAAAAAAAAAAAAAAGGTTTAGTGGGTCCCAACGTATAGAGGGTGATGACACAAGGATCTAGGGTTTTTAGACAAATATTTTCTCTCCACCACTATGCAATTTCCCTATTGCTATGGACTGATCATAAGCCTAAAAGCTTAGAAAATAAGGGATTGCAGAAGGGAGTAGATGGATATCTATTAAATGTGCTCTCACTGTGTTGTGCTTGTGGAGTTCTATCTTGTGACAGCACAAGAGCGTGGACTTTGGCTAAAAGCCTAAAATGCCTCCCCTTTACTGTCTCCTCTCCGTTGATAGTAACATGTATATCTGTCTCACCCTTTCAAGTAGCCACGTTTTGAATTACTCCTCCCCCCCCCCCCCCCCCCCCAACCCAAAAAAAGAAGTAGTAGTTTTTATTTTACCATTTCCACCTAAGCTTGTCGGATTCTGATTTGATAAATTGGTACAGTTAGTTGAATTCCTGCTTTGTTGCTTGAGATTGGATTCGAATCTCATTGGCGTTGGAGTGATTTAGGGATTATTTTGATTTCAAGATTTTTTTTTTTTAAATTATTACATGGGATGTTTGTCAGTTTATGTAATGGAACAAATTTTAGGACTAGCCAACCAAACACTATTCTAAATCGAAGTTTTTCCAAAAGCTCGGTTTTGATCAAAACTTTGCTGTCTGCATAATGAAACCAAACTTCCCTATCAAGATTGGCGCTTATCTCATGGAAATCCTGAAAAACAATGGGTACCAGACAATTCCTAAATCTACTTTTTAGTGCTTAAAGTATGACTTATATGATACTTCATCTCATATTAATTTTTGAGTATAATATCATATAATATATAAGAGTTTCAAATGTTATTAGTAAACAATTTTAGTTAATCATTTTAGGTTGTTGGTCAAGTTTAACAATTTGTTAGAATTAGTAATTCTTCGATTGCTACAAATGATATCAGAGTAAATGGTTTTGAATTCATTCCATTTAGTTACAAATATGAATATGTAAGTGTTTATACGAAAGAAATTATGATATTTCTTCCTATATTGATTTTATATTTAAGTATTTTAAACTCATAATTCAAATTAAATAAATTGTTAAGTTTAGTAACTCTCAAGTTATTATAAGACAGAATTTGGATAATTATATGATGCTTTAGAGAATAATCTTTTGCATACATAATTAGTGTTATCTATTTTTAAACTACTTACGAGTAATAAATATGACAACCAAAAATCCATCTCCCCCTCAACTTGAACTAGTGAGGCACAAATTTTCTTATTACGAATCTAACCGTCATTTTTTTTTTAACAGCAACGGAATTGTTAAATGTGTGTGTGTGTGTGTGTGTGTGTGTGTGTGGGTTGTGTTTAACACACACGCACACAAAATCTCATGGTCAAGGTGACAACAATATGTATGAAAGAGTGATTGATCAGAGTCATCAGACAAAGAAATCATCTGATAAGTTGCTTTCAGCCAGGTAAAAAAAAAAAAGGAAAGAAAGAAAAATGATAAATTTGCATGAACTTAATTAGAGAAACAAAATGTTGATGTCCAGTGGTCCTAACATACAACAACTACACGTTTAAAGTAAAAGAAGAAGAGGAAATTAATGGTCATAGTCATTATTAAACTTCATAGAATTGTACATATATTTTTGAGGATTAATAGTACGCTGTGCCAGACACAATTTGTAATATCCAAAATTTCTAGGGTATTATTAGAATTTTGAAATCTTAAAAGGGCTTAAATGAAAGAAACAGGAAGTATAAGGGATGAATTAAAATAATAAGGGTCTTAATTGAAACAATTAAAAACTATAGGCGGTTTGAACATAATTAATGAGAAAAGGGCAGGGACTGAATTGAACAAGATCAGAAGATTAGGGACTAAATCACAAAAAGCCCACATTAGGATCCAGAATTCCCTTTCTACAACCCGAAATTTGATTTGATCAATTAGCTACATTCACAAGAATAAATCTCAAATTGAATGTTCAATCACGCAAATATAAGCCCATAAAATGAAATGTCTCGTTCAATTTCATAAAATCTCACTGGTCAGTGAAGAAAATTTCAAACAAACCAAACGCCGCCTGTTGCCTCCATCAACTTCTAACTCACCAAATTGACTAGTTTTGCCACAAATATTCTATGGAAATTGGTTCCTGAGCGTTGCTTGAACATTTCGATTTCCATTTCAAAGATTGATTTTAGAAATTTTGAAGGATTTTTAGGTAAATTCACGATTTTCTAGTTTCAGTCATACAGGTTTCTGGGTTAAGAAGATCAAACTCGAGAATGATTCGAGTATGGGCTGGGGAATTGGATCACTGTTTTGGACCGGGCCAAAAATTAATTAAGGATAGGCTTGAGTTGGCCAATTTAATTGGGCTAGACTTTAGACAAACAGATTTGGATCAAGGAACCATATCAGAAGAAAATGGAAAATAGGAGAGAAAAAAAAAAACCAACCGGTTCAAGGGCCTTACAACCGATTCACTTTTGGTTCAGTATAAAGTAAGCTAGCTTGATAGTTTGGCCAACTAGTTTAATGTTGGTTAAAGGATAACTGGGTTTTAGGTCACAAGTTTAGTGTTAAAAAGGATAGTTTTGTGCTTAAAGTAGCCAGTTCAATCATTTTTTAGTTCGGTTTAGTGTGTTAATTGCCCAGTTCACCGTATTAATTCCCCATTCAGTGTGTGTTATGGCCGGTTCAACGTACTATATGGTGGTTCGGTGTATTAAAGGTCCAGTTGATTGTATTAAAAGCTGTTCAGCACATTAGAGGCTAAATCATGGCCGATTCAACGCCCAACTAGTTGGTACAAAGCTGGTTTAGTACTTTAATGATTAATTTAAAGGTTAAATAAATCAGTTTTATGCTTTATAGGTCTGGTTCAAGATTTTAAGCTTGGTTCATGACTTATTTGGTAGGTTTTGGGGTTTTAGTAACTCAATACAGGTTTCGAGCTCAAAAATCTAGAGATTTACTTAGATTTTTGATCAAGAAAATTATGCTTATTTGATTTTTATCTATATTAACAAACTAAAATAAAATATTAATTGTTTAGATTTCTATATGATTTCAGTCGAGCTCATACATTGCATGAGATTTTATCACTCAGTTCCTCTCGGTTTTGTGAGTAATAATATGCATTTATTAGTATTTACTATTTTTCATGATTGTTATAAACTCTAATTTTAAATGATATATTTGATTTTTGAAACTTGATTAAATTTCGGTTACAAAAGTGAAACAAAGTATATATATGAATTTCTGAAATTATTTGAAAAAGAATATTTGTTAATTATATTTGACTCTATACATGAAAAATTACGTTAAATTATTTTCTGTGATCTGTGCACACGATCATTTTCTCTCCTATTATAGCTCACTTCGACTTACCACTGCTTTTGTATCATAAGGATGATTTTTGAGGCAATGGAGCAACCTCTTATCTATTTTTTCACTTACCTGAAATATGCCTACCATCTCTTCTGAGTCTGAGTCTGAGTCTGAGTGCGTCTCTCAATTGAATTCTTATTCAATCCAAACTCCAAACTAATTGGAGACCCTCCCATAATCTCCAAACCTTCACCACCAGAGCCGGAACCTCCCCAGTAATCTTAGAGTAACCCATTGCCCAATCACCCACCCAATTTCTCAGTTAGCCTCCGCAACTGGCCCTCTTTCGGCTTGCAAACCTGTTTTATTTTGTTGAATTATTTGATTAAATATAACAGTGGACAACGACTGCAGTATGGCTTTGCGAGGGAGAACCCAACATCACTTTTTAGGCCCATGAAATTGTTAAATTGACAAGGCAAACGTACAACTTGATGTCGGATTTTGTTAAAGCCAGAAAATGATTTTCCAACTTATCAGTTTACACAATTATTTTTAATTATTTTTAAAGTATATTTATAAATTTATATTTTTTTAAATTTAAGTAAAAAAAATAAATTCTAAAAATATTAGAAAGAATATTTCTAATTATAAATAATATTATTGTAATTAAGTAAAAATTATTTTAGACAATTTTTTTAAAATTTTTTTTCTTAAATCTAAAATTATCTGATAAAAACTTTCAAATTTTTCTAAGACAAATTACAAAAGCTAAAATTTAAATAACAATTTTATTATTTTCGAGAATTTTATAAAATATTTTATAAACATAATAAATTTCTAATTATAATTTATTATTACTTTTTTTTTAAATTTAACTTTTAATTTTTGAAAAGTATTGCAGACACTCCCCAAGTCCTATTATCAATTTCAGATTTGAATAGCTGTGAATTAATAGGCGTTGTGGACCTGCCAACCCTGTGATCTAGGATGTGGCGTGAGGAGTAAATTTTGCAGCCTCCTGATTTTGGACATTGTACAGAACGTCACATTCAATTTTTCTATGC